AGCCCCGCCACGGTCTGTGCTCCGCCCCCAGCAGCAGCGCCCTTCGATTGCCAATGTGACGAGATATTCCACTTCCAGAGTGTATCCTATAACTTTTCATGGGATGCGTGATCAATCAAAGCATGATGCTTGCTGAAATGATAGAGGCTATCAGCATAACATGTGCAAACGACCTCCTAATTGGTTGCTAGCTCGTCCATTATCGGAGGTCAACGGGCAAAGAAAGGGGTCCCATTTTGCGCCTTCTTGACGGATTTCTTTGCTTTTTTCGCCACTGGGGCATTATTCAGCATCTCCACTTCCACTATGAACCCAGTCCAAACTTATCGTAATCCCTCGCTTTAAGGAAACGAGCAAGTAAGCGGAGCAACTGGTGATTGGTTGCTATACCTCGGTGGATTAAAAAGAGTGGGGGAAATCATGAGGCCAAGTTTCTGTATAGTATTCTGGCATTCTCTCGATACATGTGGGTTGCGAGCTGCCGCGCAGTGGAACAATTTCATTCATGGAAGCCTCAACTTTGCGATATCCGAAGCAAGTTTATCCAGCTGTGCAGTAGGTGTCTGCGCCAGCAGTGGTGGTATTGTTTGAAGTCTGTGATGAAGCAATCCTACAATCGGAGAGCGGAACCTACTCCGGGTGAAGTTCACCTATTGGGGCTCGTTGTCGCTGCTGAGCTGCACGTTCCCACTGATGCCTCCGTAGGTTGCTTGGCTAGACTGCGCACTCCTCAACCCCAGTGACCCCTTGTCAAGCCGATCGAAACAACGGCTTTTATGCAGCAAACTTTGTGAGATGATCACACGTGTCCTTCGAGCCACCTCGTCCAACTCGTGAGAATTCCATCTTCCCAGCGTGTACAATTTCTCCACGGCTCAGAGGGAACGACACATGGTGCAGTGGAAGGTCTACTGCAGTTTGACGGGTGCTGGTACCAAGTTGCCCCAAAGAAGCTCCTTGCATGCGTTCAATATCTACAGCCATTGGGTGTCCAATGGTTGGTCTTCAGGGCTTATAGTCGCCTGGCGAAGCTTCCCGAACTTTCAATAGATATTCTCATTTAGCGAGTCTGGTCCTCCAGATACACAAATATCCGACAGGCTCCTCTTGCTGAGTGCCCCAGGCGGAACTCGTAAAATAGACAGTGACGAACATGTGTTGAGGAGGACGGCATTATTTCTCCCAAAAGACGAGTACTGACGGTCAAATTTCGTAATATGAAAGGACACTAGGTCGCCACATGCTGTTCTGCGGGGAACAACACGAACATTTTACCAATTTTTCCATTTTTTGCGTTGAAGAGGGCAGGACCGACGAGAGTCGCATCAAGACCCACGTTGACAGGCAAGCAAGGGGTCCCGCCACTTTTATCAGTTTTCTCTTTTGTTGTGAACCACTTACCATTTCTAATTTAACTTCCAAAAGGCTGCCTTTTATAGCAAATCCGCCTTTTATTGTTTTTGTACTTCCAGGCTCCAAAGTAGGCAAACAACGTCGAAACCTCAGCCGAAAAATGTGTTGTCATTTTTGGTGCAAGCTAAACCACTGCTTCAACCTATACTGAGAAGCTAAGATTCATAGAAAGGCGAAATGAAAATCAGGACAAATGTCGTGTAGTTCCTGATCGAACTAAAAACAATAAAAATCCACCTAGAATGCAAGAGAGGCCCCTTCCTGTTCATGCGGCATACGAGTCAACTAGGAAAGCAGTTCAAAAGGTTGGATGTTAAGGCTAAGTCGATGTAGGATTTACACAGCATGAGAACGAACGAGACGCAGACATCATTCACAGCAGTGGGTGCGCACATGATGCGCGCAGATGCGATGAAGGTACAGATGCAAGTTATTAGCCCCTGTCTCTTGCCAAGTATTTTGAGTCGTAACAATGGCGGTACTTCTACTGTTGCGAACTCATAAAGCTCATCCAGACAGGGATCGCTTCAAGGAAGTGTTCGTAGATTATAATGTTCCCATTGGGCGCTTGCGTACCGTAACCCAACACGCGAAAAATTCGCCGTTAGGTTCGATGTTATTGGTGCAGGCGCACAACAAGCACCCTACCGCACGCGCAAATTTGTCTCGTTTCGTGTCATCAGTTTTCCGTGCGTGCTCGCCTCCCAGTTCTCGTTTTCTCTGCGTCCTCTCAACGAAGAGAAATGTGTCGAGCGAACCCGCGAACTATACCGTGCGCCGTTCATGCAGGAGGTGGAGGATGGCGCGCGCGTGTCGGGTTGGCCCGCGTATGACGGAGCGGCAACCCGGAGACAGGGTCAGCCATATC